ACAGTGAGAGAAAATCACTCTCTGCATTTCCATCATCTTCATCTTTCTTATTTCATATAGGCACTCACACAACTCCACCTCTCCGGTAATCAAATCGGAGATCAAGGTGTACAAGTTCTTGGTGAAGGTTTACAAAGAAACACAGTAAGAGAGAACATCATTCTGTATAGTTTCCTCATCTTCATCTTTCTTATTTCATAAAGACGCTCATAGAACTGGGACTCGCAAATAATCAAATTGGAGAGAAAGGTACACAAGCTCTTGGTGAAATCTTACGAAAGAACATAGTGAGAGAAAAACACCATTCGCTATACTTTCCTCATCTTCATCTTTCTTATTTCATACAGACACTGACAATACTCCACTTCGGACACAATGAAATCGGAGAGAAAGGTGCACAAGTTCTTGGTGAAGCCTTAAAAAAGAACACAGTAAGACAAAACAACATTCACTATAATTTTCTCATATGCATCTTTCTTATTTTATATAGACACTCAAAGAATTAAGTCTCGGCTTCAGTCAAATCGGAGAGAAAGGTGCACAAATTCTTAGTGAAGTCTTACAAAAAAACACAGTGAGAACAAACAACATTCTCTGCTCTTCTCTCATCTTCATCTTTCTTATTTCATGCAGGCACTCACAAAAATCTACCTTTTCCAGAATGAAATCGGAGACATAGGTGCGCAAGCTCTTGGTGAAGGCTTACAAAAGAACACAGTGAGAGAAAACAACATTCGCTATGCTTTGCTTATCTTCATCTTTCTTGTTTCATACAGACCCTCACAGAGCTCGCGTTTGGGGACAATCAAATAGGAGATAAAGGTGCGCAAGCTCTTGGTGAAGGTTTACAAAAGAACACAGTGAGAGAAAATACCATTCTGTATACTTTCCTCATGTTCATCTTTCTTATTTCATATAGGCACTCACACAACTCGACCTCCGCGACAATCAAATCGGAGATGAAGGTGCACAAGCTCTTGGTGAAAGTTTACAAAAGAACACAGTGAGAACAAACACCATTCTCTATACTTTTCTCATCTTCATTTTTTTTATTTCATATAGACACTGACGATACTCCACCTCGGACACAATGAAATCGGAGATAAAGGTGCACAAGCTTTTGGTGAAGGCTTACAAAAGAACACAGTGAGAGAAAATCACTCTCTGCACTTCTAGCATCTTGATCTTTCTTATTTCATATAGGCACTCACAAAACTCAACTTCGAGTATAATCAAATCGGAGATGAAGGTGCACAAGCGCTTGGCGAAGGTTTACAAAAGAATACAGTGAGAGAAACCACCATTGACTATACTGTTCTCATGTTGATGTTTCTTGTTTCATACAGACACTTAAAGAACTCAATCTCAGCTACAATCAAATTGGATATGTAGGTGCACCAGCTCTTGGTGGCGCCTTTGACACGAATTCAGTGAGTGAAAATAACATTCACTATACTTTGCTGATCTTCATTTTTCTTATTTCATTCAGACACTCACAGAACTCAATGTCTACGGCAATGAAATCGGAGACGAATGGAAAGATTATTTTGAAATAATTGAGGACGAAAATGCACGCCTGCGCATATATTTATGAGAAGAACTGAAACGAAACGAAATGAAACAAAATTTATTATATTTTGTTTTGAAATAAAAGTATATATTGAAGAAACATATTAATATTTAGAACAGTTCATATTGAGGAGATTGGCATAAACAACTACTATAATCTAGATTTTACTGTCGCAACGGAGATCTCGAGATAGCTAGATGGGGTGGATGTAAGTTTGTATTGTATTTATAGAAATACTCCCACTAGAGTTTTGACCTCATTCAAAGGTTAAATCTTTAAGTAGTGTTTTTGACTTCTGTCTGCATAAGATCTTACAAAAGAACATAGACAGGATGAAAATCTTGAGTGTGAGTATGATTATGGATTATGGTGACGATGACGTTAACACAGACATCTACGCCCGCACTCTCAAGATGGTTTCGTATTGCAACGAATATCACAATTAATATATCAAGTACTTTGTTAGATATGGCATATCTTACCTATGTCTTTACTAATAGTCACTACCATTGACATATGATTTACATTATATGCTTTTCACTGATCACTTTTATGGTATTTATTAAAATAAAGTTATGCGTTTTTAAATAGATAATAAAACTACGATTCAAACTGGTTGAGTTGAATTAAATCAATTTAATTAAGAAATAAACAGTATTTGCTATAGTTACGAAAAAATTATAATTATGATAGGCAATCGTTATTGTTTGTTAGGTATTATATAGCTAAAAATCCACTATCTACAAAAAAATAAAGGAAAACCAGTCAGAATTATCTCATATCACAGCATTTTGTTCATTTGGAAATGATTCAATGCTACGATTTAGATAAGATTTATTTAAGACTAAAAAGATAATTGGCTCAACAACATCTTCTACTTCTATATAAATAAATGGAAAACTAATGAAAATACGATTTTCATTTTTAGAAATCAGCAAATTTATTCAATGGAATTTTTTGATAACATTCCAGCGGTTTTCTTTATGTCAGACCAACATACTTATAGAAAATGATTATTTAGTAAAAGAAAGTAAACATTAACCTGTACGACAATACCTGTTAAAAAACCTATGTGCAACAAACAAAAGTAATGTAAAATACACTATTGACCTGAATCTAAAACAAACAAACTAATGTTATTTAACTGCAGACGAGAGAGACTCTCACTTGATCAGGACCTAATTCCAATGCCACTACACATATTAAACCATCAACTGCTGCTTCACCTGATACATTAACAATCGAAACAGGTATTTTACGTTCAGTTAAATCACGTACTATTTCTATCAAAATCATTATCCTTATATATATCCTAGATGATTTTCATTACAAAAATATCAACTATTATATAATTAATTCAAAATGAAGATATCTGAGTAACACGAATCATGTACTTCACATTGATATTAAATAATCTTTGAAAGATAAAAGAATAATATAAATATTTTATATTTGTTTCAATTGTTTTACATACCCATCAAAATCAACTTCTAAAAATGGATAAAGAATAGTAACAGTAGCATTATTAACTAATAATTAAATTAGAGGATGTGGTCTCATAGATTCTTTCTCTGTTTTCAAAACACATAAATCAGTACATAGTGAGAATAATCTTATTATTCTATTTATAACATAATATATATAAATATACATTCCATAGAATAAATCAAAATTTAAATATTTTACTTCTGCGACAAATTGTTTCAAATTTTCATCAGATTTACTAACTGCAATAATCTCAGCTTCAAGTTCAACCAGTCTTAAAACCAAGGGTTCAACTATATCTAAACAATCTTTTTCTTTCGATATCCATGGAAAAATATTTGAACTCAATACTGCAGCAGTGAAGCGATTTTTGCTAACCACAAAAGTCAAACTTTTTATTCGGCTTCTGTACACCGCTCAAAATCGCGATTATGAACGGTTTTCAAAAAAAACTATTCATCATTATGGTATATTATTTCTGCTATCTATCCCATTATGATGGACTTTCTATGTTTACGATTTATCTACGATCTTCATATGGTCATCTAATATCGTGCTCAACTCCTGTAATACCACTATCTATTTTATATTTATTTACTTCTCATTAGATTTGCATTTCTTACTTTGTGATTGCAGTTCGCTAATTGTACTGAACTATCTGATTACTAATAAAAAATATTTTCATATGGACTTATATCTTTCGTTTACTAATGATTTATAAAACTCTTTGAGTAACTAGCAATCTGTCATAGTTTTATAATTTTATGAAAATTCCTGAGATTTTTATATTGATAATGAACTGTATATGTGAATTATAAAACTTTATTTATCGTTTATAGTCATGATTATTAACGTATAAACACATTTTATCTAGATAAAATCGTATTTGAAGGAAATTGCAAATTTATCAGAATCTGTACAGCAAACTGTGGTATTGTGCGATATGCAAGAGTCTAAATATTTACAATATTAATCTACAACTGATATGAATAATTATATGAAAGAAAAAATATTCATAATAGTAAATATTCGAATTAACACATTGCATGATTTATTAATTAGGAAATTGAATTTCATCAATTTATTTATTTAAGCATATATAAAATTACTTTTGTTTTTAGTTTTCAATATATAGAACTTATATTTCATATAGATTTTATTTTTAATTATTATTAAATAATAATCTGACTTGATCGATATATATAATCAAGTTTTTTGTTACATAGAATAAATGGTATAATCAAATGATTGATATGTTTACCGTCAGTTGTGATCGACGATACGTGGTATAAAACTTCATCAATCATTCATTTCACAAAAAAAAGAAGGGAGAAAAAAATTAATCAAAACTCGTTGAACATATGAACTGTCACTATTGACTATGTTCAAGTGTTCTATTTTATCATCATTAATGTCAGTCGATATATATATTGTGTAATAAATCTCGGAGTATTGATAAAAATAGTAGTAAAACTTAGTCTAGTCTAGTCACATTACATTGTTTTGTAAATTAACATAGAAAATAAGCAAGTAGTCATAAAATAATTCTTCTATAAAACAACTCTTCGAAAATATATATAATAGTTTAGGTTAAAAAATAAAACAAAACATCGCCGTAATTATTATTTCCTTTCTTGAATGAGAAAAATAAGTCAAAAATCAAGGTCTCTCATACCATCATCCTTCTAGGAACAAATAGAGGCGGAGGAAAACGAGAAGGTCGAAAGGATCAATCAATAGCGAATATCGCACGAGGGCAAAAGAAAAATGTATATATAACTAACACCCGTAAACAAAAAATCACATCAAAATATAGATGAGATATGAATACTTAAATAGTCAAATATTATTTCACATAAATAAAAATTAATATTTTTCTTTTTAGTAACATAGTTTGTGTATTATTCAAATCATAGAAAAACATTTTTTTAGTCTTGAGAACATAGAACAGACGATCGATATAAAAATATTGCTATGAGTTCATTTTTACTAGTCATATGTCTTCAGTCTTTAAAAAAAGATCATAAAATACCTATGAATAATTCTCCATTACAAATAGAAACGTATCTAGAAAGAAAATAACCTAATGCTTTTATCCGGAAATTCATATTGTAACTATTTCCGTTATGCATACTTCAGTTCATTTACCCCCCAAAAATAGTTTCTATTATAAAAATCTTTTGTTTGTAACAAACAATCTATATTACTAGTAGAGCAGGGAGATCTTTCGACAATGTAATTCAATTAGACATTAAGAAAAGAAATGATTTATATATATCTCTTTTTTTCGAGGAGAGACTAATCTTCTAAATTTCTTAGTTAATGAGAATGTTTTTTCATACCGATGATTATATAGACAAAAAAAATAATCAGTATTATATTTTTGAAAAGAGATCTGACTATATAATTCATATAATTATTAGATATATGAATTAAATCCCTTTTGATATATTTTATAAATTATATATTTTTCTTTTCATATAGAATGTTTGAAGTTGATAATATTTCTCATAAATTGATGATCTATGCTGGTATTATCATGTATATATTTGGTTCAATTGGAAATATATTAAATATTTATGTATTTACCGTATGGTCTCGTACAAAAAAAACATCAAATAAACATTCGCATTCTTGTCGTACAAATAATAGTTCATTATATTTACTTGTTTCATCGATTTCAAATTTAATTGTTATTCTTTATCCACTTTTTACACGAATTATGCTTGATGGTTATGAATATCATATAACAAAACATAATGTATTTATTATATGTAAATTACGTTATTATATTCTTCATACATGTGATGTAATATCATTAACATGTATTTGTTTAGCTACATTTGATCGTTATTTAATATCATCACGAAAAGTTCGTCTAAGAAAATTAAGTACAACAAGAAAACAAACAAAATTAATTCTTTTATTTATTATATGTTTATTTGGAATTCATAGTATACCAATTTTTAAATATTATAGTGTTTCAAAAACAGGATATTGTACAATTATATCAACTATTTATTTATATTATTATTTATATACATTTCAAATATTTCTACATGGTATAATACCAATTATTTTTCTTTCCGTATTTGGTATATTAACATTTAAACAATTGAAAATAATTAGTAAAAGAAAAAATCATTATGGAACAATGAATTTTGATAAACAATTATCACGTATGCTTTTATTAATATCTTTAGCGATTATCTTATCATCAATTCCATATTGTATTGAACAATCGTATTTAGTATTATTTAAAAAAAATAATCGACAATATAAATCATATTTTCGTCTTTATCATGTCGCATGTTCAATATTATATTATACAAATCCGGTAACTAGTTTTTATATATATTATATATCGACACGAAGTTTTCGTTTACAAATTCATAAAATGTTTTGTTGTACTAGAAATACTCATTTAGTTATTGTCTATAGAGTGAAACCAATAACAATGTCAAAACAGGATTTTTAAGTATCCATTTTATTTTTTTAAATTAAACTATTGTTAATGTAAAGGAAAATAACCTTTCGATGTTCTGTTTTCCTATTAGAATTTATAAGAAAGAAATTTTTAATTAATTATGACCTATTTTTTTGTTTGAATCATGTTTGTAATAGTTTCTGAAGAAAGGAAATAGAGTAAAACGATCAGATCCTTTTTTTCTGTTATTGAACTACACATAATAATACAGGAAATGAGCACTTGCATGAGATATAATTTAACTATATAATATACATTATTATTACGTTCATCGTAGGAGGTGAATGCTATTTTAATCGGGTGTGAAAACTTTTATCGAACACTATTCATGACAAATCAACCACGACTTTTAGGACATGCGCAGTTTTATATAGATGAATATGCGATCATCATATAACTAAAACTTGCTTCGGTAAATAATTTCGTTCTAAACAAATCCCGCATATATAATAAGGAAATATATTATGAAAACAACTCGGTGAACAAAAACTCAATGAACGATTGAAAATATTTTCTAGTGGATTACGAACTTCATATGTAGGTCATTGAATAGAATTTTTTTTCTAGTAAATAAGAATATGATTTTGTACATTCGGTAACATTTTAACAGTCGGATTCAATTGGAATTTCTATAAGATCAACAAAATTCTCTTAAATATCGAACGATATCATTATTGGAGGCCTAATATCTTCTGAATCGACATTATATCATAAATCGATGAGAAGAACCGAATCTAAGGATTATATGTATATAAAAATATTTTTACTCGTACATGCAGTCAGGGTTTTTAATGGAAATCTAAAATAAAATGTATATGTACATCTTGTTCTCGTATCCCAGGTGTATCAAAGTGTACACACTTGACGTTTAATACAAAATAAAGAAGTGAAAAATCGAAAAATGTTCATACTTTTCTTTCGTAAAACAATTAAACAATGTTACATAAATAAATGTAAGTGCAATTATCTACCCAACATCTGAATGATAATTAGTATCAAAAGTGGTCACAATATTTTTTGGGACAAGTGTACTGCAGCGTGTATTTCAAGAGGAGCAAGTGTTCTGTTCATTTTGATTATGTTTGGTATACTTGTCATTAAAAAGAGTGCAGATCAATACAAAACTATTTATATTTTCTTTCTTCTATTTTTTTAAACACATTTTAATAATATAAAAGAAAGATATTAACACCGGCAAACAATGACATTACAATAATGAATTCGATATTAAATCATAATTCGAAGAAATGGATGATTCTTTTTTGTTTTTAACATATTTAGCTTTTTTAGATGAATTAGATGATATCGAATTTTTTATATTTAATGGTGAGTTATTAAGATTACTGTTTGCAGCTGATAAACGTAATGAATTTAGAAAATATTCATGTTGCATTAATGTAGCTATTCTAGGAGATATTAATGGAAAATAAGTATTCGTTTGTGCTGTAGATGCTAATCGATATTGTTGTTCAATCGAAGAATTTATATTTGATGATGATGGTAATTGTGGCGAACGGGAACGTGAACGTTTCAATGATGTGAGAGGAATGGATGAACGTTTTCGATTTATTTCATTGATATTTTTAGGCGGAGCATTATGATTGTGTTTCGAATGTGATTCAATTTTTCGATGAAATTGAGATTTATCATGATTAACAGTAGTTGTTGTTTTTCTATCGATTTGTACTGGAATTGGAGAAAATAAAGTTCCTAGACCACCGAATGCATTATTTGATGAAGGTGGAATACAACCAATAGTATTAGAATGATTCAATGGAGATGGATAATCTAAATTGAAAATTCATAATCACATCTTTATACAATTACTGTACTGTAGAAACATACTAAATAGTGATGCTAGATGATTTGCCTTTGGAATAAGATCAGATGAATTATGTTGTTGATGTTGATAAATCATCCAAGATATTCGAACATGAGCTGAACACCATTTCTTAGAATTCTATAATTATAATATCATTAAGTAAAGAATACAGAAATAAAATTTATCGTTTACCTTAATTGAAGATGAGAAATTTTCTTTTTTCATTGAAATAGAATTTAAATGAAATCTTGGATTTGTTTGTGTTGATAGAACAGATGAAGTAGAAATCTACATAAAAAAATTTCAATATAGACATTTTAGTATTGATAGAAATAGAATACTAACATTAGGACGTGAAAATGGTGAAAAATTATTATTCGATGTTGATAAACTATTTAAATTATGTATATGTTCAGGACGAAGAAATGTTGAAAGATTATTATTTCCATTGGTATTTATATCATGTAAATATCGAGTATTTAATTCATGTAATAGATGATGATTAAGAAATGATGTTTGTTGTTGATGATTATTTATCATTGATCCAGGTATATACATTTTTCTTCTATCTAGAATAAATAGACAAAATTATTGTTTATATTTTCAAGTGTTCAAATGAAAAGTATATACTTACTCGAGATTTCTTTTACAATATATTTTATGCATATACTATTAGAAAAAAAAATTGAGAGTATGTATGTGTAAATTAGACCATCTGTTTATGATATGATAATGATGATCAGAAGATAAAGAAGGACAATCAACAACAATAATTCAATTAGTATTGGCAACCGAGAAAATGTGTTTATTCAATGGTATGTCTATCTGTCGCGCAATTCGCTTTATGTTTCTAATACATATATATATATACAAGAAGAGAAGAAAAAAAGAATAGATTTATATATATGTTGTGAATTCATACCCCAGAAGAACAAGTTGTAGTTTTCATGTATATACTCATCATTTCACTTTCTCTCTTTAGTATACAAGCAAATTGTAAAATCAATTACGAAATGTCATAAGGGAGTTAGCTTCACTTAAGAATGACAAAAGAGAAGGACTGTAATTAGTTACATTATCGATATGTATGTATGAATGAGAAGCATAAAAAACTCATTTCTCGCCTTTTTTCTATTAATTAATTGTGAGAATAGAACAATCTAAACCAGATCATAGCTATTCAATTAATAATTGATTCGGTAAGCCGAGCAGAAAAGAGAACAAACACATACAACAAAAAAAAAATATATGATCAAAATTAGAACTCAATTTGTGCGACATATATAAATAGTAAAGAGAAAGAATGTTAATAATAACAATAATAGAGAAAAGTGATGCTAGAGGTCATTTTTTACTATCGAAAAAAAAATACTTGTTTTGACAAATGATACTGTCATTCTCTTCAAACTTTGTAATTAAGTGCACGAAAATAAATATATATATTGCCTAACAGGCAACATAATCAATAACAGAATAGAAAAAAATTCGACGTTGTAAATCGGTATCGCTTTCTACTTTCCTCCTATTCTATATATTTGATCGTCTCTATTGCATGTATATATTTATTCCTATTGAGTCTCGCGAGCAAGTTGTCTACTAACAAAAAGAAAAATGAAATGGCATTATAAGAATGTATGATGTATGTAAAACGGAGTGTGATTGATGAGATTACATGACAGACTGCATATTCATTTAGATGAAGAAAGGTTAGTGTAAGTATATAGTGAAAAAAAAGAATTCTCTACATAGTGTGTATATATACCTACTAGTTTGCTTATCAAAACACTTAGGCATTACCCATTAGTCGAACGATGATATTTCTATATTGAATTAACTTTATATCTATATATAGATTGAATTAGAATGTATTTGCAGAGCTGTCGACAATATATAAGAAAAAAGCATACATAGCGATTAACTTAATTATGCATATACTGTTCTTTTTCTCGATATTTTTAGTAATGTATTATTACCATTAAGAGTAGAAACTCGAATAAAATGACAATTTTTTTCTTTCATTGTTAAAATAAATATTTTTACTACCGAAATTTGATATCATAGTTACGATAAGGAGAGGTAATTTGTTGTTGTCGGCTTGGATTATAAACCTATGTGTATGTCAATATTATATAGATGGATAAGACAAAAATTGTTCGAGTAAAGTGACATCGAAACTAATCATTGAATCCTTAACGAATGAATATTGTTTTTGTAATTGGGTCAAATACAAGGACAAAAAGAAAGAAATATTGTTAGAAGATATCTAATCAAAATTATTCGTCGAAGAAAATTAAATTAATATATATTATATAAATATACTTGTTAAAGATAATTATTTATATGAAAGTATAAGAGATGAAAGCTGATGATGAAATTATATGAATGCATTTCCAAACTTAGTTTATCATAACAAAATTAATAAAAGGAGGGAAATGAATGTATCTCGTCCTTGTCTAATCTAATATATGAGAAAATCTGGATAGATTAAATTATATGTTAGGATATGAACAAAGAGATAGAAAATATATCTATTCATCTCCACCAAAAAAGAAATCATTGCACGTTGTTGAATAACTATCAATTGAAAAATATAATATGAAGTAGTATAAATTTTAGAAAATAACGAGAGAGTAAGAAACTATAAAGAAGATGAAATATGAAGTTGTGTAGTGAGAAGTAACAGAATTTTTTGATTATAGATTGAGATAATAAGCATGCCGAACTTCTCGGTATTTTCCAATTTTTTACTCATACTTTCGGATACTATTCATTACTAGATTTCTCATAAAATTCTTCGCAAAACATGGGTATTATGTAACATACGATGCAACTGATTGATCTACGAAAAATAACGTCTAGAAACAATATTTTCTATCATGTTGAAAAGTTCAATTACTTCAATACGACATAAAATATGCTTTAAATATAAGGTGTCTCAAAAGTCATGATCATTTTAATTTTGTTTTTAATTTATAAAGAAAAATAGAAAGTCACGCTTATAAGAATTGCTTAAAAGTATTATATTTGACATCAATACAAAAATGTAGGCATTCTACAACTTCTAAAAAAACATCATGAAAAGTTTCTTTTTTTAATTAAATCGATATGTCAAGCTGTTCTATTCTACAAATCATCTAGATTTTGAACTGTTGTTTTTTTTAGAGATTTGTTTCGAGATATCCCCTCAAAAAGAAGTCTAAGAATGTTAAATTAGGTTTACCTTTTCGATAGTATGTAAGTGGTCAATCTGTCTACACTTTTGTATTGATGTCAAATAATAATACTTTTGAGCAGTACTTATAAACGTGACTCGGCTGAAAAAAAAACTTTTTGTTCTTCTCTGTAAATTAAAAATAAAATTATCAATATCACTTTGCTAATAAGGAAGAAAAATGATCATAACTTATGGGGTATCCTGTATATTGAGCATTGCTATCTGTGTCATTTTAAAACATCACCGGTAGAGAAATTCTTTTCGGACAAATATATAGCTGGATCATAACCGTTTGAATTCAATTATCAATTTGTTTTTTGAATTTTATGCTTTTCATTTAATGTTGGCTGAGTCTCAAGTATTTATAAAAATCAATAATCAAGATTATCTTGAGAGATCCGTTGAGAAGTTCGTCAAGATGTACTTGATACCTTACTTTTTGTAACTTTCGTTCGTATTCTACGTGAACAATTAGATGATGTTGTCCGATTTTTTCTTTATGAAATAGTCACTATTTGCAAATTTTTCTTGTCATTGTCAAAATTAGCTTCTCTTAAATGTAGTATAAACAATAATTAGCTTATACTTGATGAAAAAAGCACTGATAAGGTTGAGTATTGAAAGATAATTATTATCATTTTTCTTCAAAATTACACGATTATGACACATCTCTTCGTGTTGTTGTTGATGCTCAAAACAATGAGTTATCCTCGCTAAAATAGCAAAACTATAAAAACAAAATTACGAAGATAATCTTATATATATATAATATAGCGATATCTGGAAGAGAAATTTGATACTATACATGAGCATATTTAAATACTTACAACATAATCACACGAAATATTTAAAAAAATTCTTATCTGATGTTATTATAATAACGAGCCCATAAAGTCTACATTAAAAGTATTTCTATAAAACTATCATAAGAAGAATCGTAATATCAGTTTGGTAACTATACATATGTCATACGGTGTATGTTACAAGATCATAAACATCATCCTCTACTCTTTCACATATACTCACATATATTACTTGTATTTGTCCTATTTCCATTTCATTATCTTCTCATTTTATCATCTTCCGAGTTGTATCATTTTCCTTTTGTGATTATAGATGACCATTGTCCAGCTCTCTTCTGAATTAGTCATTTCGAATAGTTCGACCTCTAACTAGGACGACGCGCTCACAAGATAATAGTCTATTCATCAGGAAAGTAGAAAATCATTTTCAAATGCGTACGACTATTTCTATGATATCTCCTTTCGCCTCTTACATATATTTTTGTACTACACAATGTTGTAAACTAGCGATTCATTTACAAGATATATTAAAGTTATAGACTCCCCTCCGTGCTACATGTAAAAAAATTAATATTGTATCTTTAAAAGAAATCTTATTGTTTGTTTCATATATGTTCGTTACATAGTTTGATACATGTAACGTACATATGAATGAAATAATAAGATCTCTTTTAATGATAAAATATATACATGTAGCATGAGAAAAGGAAGGTTCTATTATTTTGATATACCCTGCATATTTATATATCCAATGAATAGATATGGTGTGCGAGAAACGAAAAGAACAAATGTTTCTCGCCATTCTTTACTCATTTACCCATGCTTCAATGATTTTTTCTTTTTTGATATATCATTATATCGCTTTTTTTGTTTCAAATATACCATACTATAGAATGTATCTTATTTTGTACAACTACCATACTAAATAAAATATTATATATGATCATCTCGAATTAATGTATGGTCGCACATATTAGTATAATACTATTAAGACCTAGAATAAAAACAAAACTATTCTCATACCACTTTTCTCTCATCAGTAATCTTCAAATCACAAACATGTAAGTAAATAATCATGACTAGTCAGTTAAAATAAAAACAGATAAAAATACATTGTACTAAAATATATGAGTAAGACATTTAACAGTAGTTTTCTTCTGAATTTTATGTAATTGACAATACTAAAGAATATTTCTCAACATCTCAAAAGTTTCATATCCTAATAGAAAAATCAGGATTGAGCATTGATTGCAGTATCTTTTATTGTAAAAACGATATCAAAACAAGTAATTAAACTATCTTTCTTCGTCTATATACGTTTCATTTAATAGTAAAGCTATTACATTATTTTCTACCATGCTGTTTTTCATAGCATACCACATTAGATATGTACCATAACTAAATAAATTACAATGGAGGTATGTGTAGATAGAATATATTGAGATCAGATTATAAGAACCTTGACGCTAAATCATTTGGGGTTATTTTAGTCTAAATTTCCTCTATACTTACTCAAAATATGGACTTTAAAGCAGCTAAGCACTTCGACTACTTCTTCCTAAGCTGTGTATCTAATTATCATTAATAATATTTTCATATATCTTAGCTCATGTTGATACTTTCTTCGTCATAACTACGACATTCTCCATTTGTTACTTCCTGCTTATGTGTTTCGAATTCAACAGCTTCATAATTATATATTAGCATCTGTTTACAATTATTTTGTTCATCATACCTAACGGACACTATTAATTGAATTATGGTGAATCAAATCAGATTGGTCGTAATCTTTGTTATTGTCTTCATATTTCTTGCTGTTATATTCATATACCAATTTCCACGCAAACTTAACTTGCTGCCATACTATTTTTCCAATCAATCCTCATTACTTCCCATAAGTCGACCTCTAAGAATAAGTATCGTGAATACTTGTGGATGTCATGATGAAGTTCTTGCTGCACTCGTCCATGCTTGGGGAAAATTACCTGGAGCACAACTAAGCTTGTTTCAAAGTGAGTTTCGTTTTGGATCTTACAACATCATAAAGAAATTTGATTTGACGAACAAGTTGCCCAACAAACCTCGAGGTGTGTCAGATTTCATGTCATGGAAAGAACCCAACCAACCGATTCCCGACATTCTCATTTCTACAACATGTGAGTCTGATATACACCATTACTATAATAATATCACGACACTACTCGAAAAGAATCAAACATACGTTTTCTGCGTCATCCATCATGCGGATCAGTGGGGTATGCCTGGAAACAAGCATGAGCCTATGTTAAGTCCCTGGATTCGCCAGAATCGTGTTGAATTTTTAGCATTGAGTCCACATACTGCCAATTATTTACTAAATCAGAGTTTAAATAAATGGCAAGTCGTCCAGAAAGAAGGTAGAAAACCGCTTGTTCGATACTTTATTCCCATATTTCCTGTTCAGATTCTTCCAGATTCTTCTCAGAAAAAGAATTTTCTTATTGGTGTGCAAGGCGATTATGCTCAAGATAGACGAGATTACAAGATGGTGTTTAATCGCTTTGAAAGTCTTCTCAAATCTAGTAACTCATCTATCGTGACTGCAAAGCCAATAGCAAAAGTGACGAAGCATAACATTTATTTACATATTGTCGGTCGAGGTACCCCACCAAAAGTTCCCCAAGCCATTAAGAATAATGTTGTCTTTGATAAAGAACTCAACTATGTCGATTATTATACTATTCTCTCTCGATGCTTCGTTCTCTTGCCAGCCTTTTCAACGTCTCACTATCTTGATCGAAAAGCTTCGTCGACGATACCAGCAAGTCTGATTGCCGGAGTACCACTCGTTGCAACAAAACAAATCATTGATACTTATGCTTATCTCAACGAAGATATGGTTTGGCTACAAGGATCTAATGAAACAGATTTTGATGTGATTGAACGTGTGTTAAAGTTAAGCAATGAGCATCGACAAGCAAAGATTGAAAAGGTCAAAGCCTATCAATTGTCTATCCTTGAAAACAATACAAAATTAGCAAGAGTGTGGACAATAGAAGCCCTCAAAATGATTGGAGTGAATATATCACTGTTTTAAGTCAATTGTTTTCGATTATAAACTATTCTATACCAGTTTATTACATTCAATAAGTATATATGATACTTCATAGTGCATATCGTAAGAATCAGTCTGAGTGAGTGAAGGTGTTAATGTAGGATTTCGAACTAGTATTCAGCAGTACACACACCCATATCTTTGAAAGCTATAAAATAAAGTGATAGAATGAATATATATACATATATATGGGTGATATAATTTTTGAATTAAATTTGTAAAGAATAAATAAAAAAAGAAATTCATATGAAACAACTAACTTAAAATTATGTCATGTGTTTCATTTTAGTTGTGTTCACACGCTTTCATTCTATTTTTTTATCTACATGGTTAATAAAATAGACATTTCAATAGTAAAAGTACATATCATCGATCTTAGCAAAAATCCGAACTCTTTTTGTCCTGGATACTGCTTACTTTGAGCTCCAAAATGGGTGAAACTCCAGCTGAAAAGTACTATCCGATTAAAGGATTTCTGTGTTGAAAGGATACTATCGATTAGTGTTCTTCAATACCATTAATGTATGCATCTTATCGAGTCTGGCATTGAATAATATTTTTACTTTCATCTACAGTCAAAGTTTGTCACTGCTGAAATTTGTTTCTTTTGACAACTGGGTCAATTATATTCTGCTCCACATAAAAGTTATCTGTGAGAGATAGATGTCTGTTTTTCGAATTAGTAATGAAGAAAAAAAATAGAGTTTTTGATTGATAGAATATCGAAATCTGAATATTTGAAAGTTTACTTTACCAATAATATTAATAATCTAGAAGATTTACTTTCGTCAAAATCAATATTCCAAAAGAGATTCAAAACTAAACATGCGGTAGATATATATTCCTAACTTCATTTTAGTGTTTGATGCAGTTTTTGTGAGTAGGTAATTTTTTTACTACTAAATATTATCTGAGACATGAATGTAGATATATATTCATTTTGTCTGAGTCATAAAGATATTTTTTTTTCATTTTATCAACTTTCCTTCGCAACATATCTTTCAAGGTTGGCAATAATTCACTTTTTCAATGTAAAGAACTCTACTAAAACTATGAAGAGAAAATGCTTGCCTTTCTTTCATTCATACAAAACTTAGATTAATCATCGAAAATGACTGTGTTGATTATAAAATATGACATTTATTTTAAAATGCGTATGAGTAAAGGTAGGTGTGATGCGAGTGTTCTCTTAATTCTGTCATGTTTACTCACATTCACTCGCTTTTCTAATACATGATCTATAAGAAGTATTAAATTATAGCAATAAAAAACTTGAATCAAATGCCTGTGCTCTATATTTACATAATCAAGAATATGAATCTAAGAGTGAAACATTGATATCATTTTTAGAACGTATTATTTATTAGAATTTATTTTTATTTTTATGAATTAGCAAAAGATACGAAGAATAAAATTCACTAAATATATTAAGTCTTTTTATTTATTTTTTATAAGTTGACATGATGAAATTGTCATTCCAATAATGAACGATTGAGTTATTCTTGAGCAGTATAACTTGGTACTTCTTTTACAATATCATTATCATCTGTAACAAGTACAACACGTTGTGGATCAAACATTCTATCTTGGACACCATTTTTTGCATTATAAGGATTTAAATCTGTCATGAAATAAAAAAACACGTTGAAGTAAAAATATTTAATGATGCTAGAAGAAAAGATTGTACTTACCACTTTTGTATGCAGTTATTGTTTTCGATGCTTCATCGAATGATTTTCCGACTAAATCTGGCCATTGTTTGGATTCAGACATTATTTCAGTATATAGGATGAATACAATAAATAAAAATAAATGGAGCTTTATGGTTGTAAAAGGATCTTTTTCACTTGTTTTATATACCTTTATGTTTTACAACCAGTTTTATAGTCAAAATTGCTCTCTCTCTCATTCTTTCCTTATCTCGTTTTTATTTTGGTCGTGTTTTGAAGAGTCAAGTAAGAGAGAATATAAGAGGAATGTTAATCGCCTACCCAGATTGTTATCTTACTAACAATAAAATTAACGACATAAGTAACAACATGCATACTTTATTTTAAAGGGTTACGATTCATCGTTCTCTTGTATTTATCTACACCCCACATGCTTCACCTGGGTTTTTTACACAGAATTTCATTTTGATGAATAATAATGAATAGAACAGACTTGAGTGTTTATATCCTATGATGATTGTTTGATAGAGAAAAAAAAGATACGAATTTAAACTACATTATAAAGAAAATTCATTGTTGCGATGATGATAAGATAAAAATTAAATTATTAAAAAAAAAGCATTATGTCATTTGTAGAATGATATTTATTTATTCGATATGTAGTAAAACATCTGTTTATTTCAAAAAAAATCATTCAGATCGTTAATAGCAATAGTTTAAAAAGTATTCTGTTCAATGAGAGCATGAAGCGATAACGTTCTACGTACATATTGTATTCATTTGACATCTGATTTTTTTATAGAAACGTTTAGTTTCAATTATAATTTTTATGTTTAGTCAATAAATATTATTGAATAATATTTATTTCAACCACGTGAGTTTTATGTGCCGCTAATTTCTTTCCCTATGGCATTCTTGCATCTTATTATTAATTAATTGTAAAAGACATATATATGTCATAGGGCAAATTAAAATCTTAAATTCCCGTAAACAGCAATAAATACATGTATTTTATATTGCAGATATATTATTTATTGAAGAGACATAATCGTTCAAAAATGAACTGTCTTATAAAAAAAAAGATTGATCTAATCTTATAAATCTACAGAATATTAGAATAATAGAAAAGTATAGATTTTCTTGCTGCTATTTCCAAATTACTGAAAAAAATAGATTGATTTAGATATGTACGAAATCTGAACCTTGGCATTTGGATTCGATCATTTTCAATGCATTAATAAAATCAAACAAGAAATTTCATGATTAAATATGGTAAATTTGTATTTTATAGAATAAATGATCCACAGAGTTAAAAGACTAAAGACACATACGGGACTTTCTTTTGGTATTTTTATCATAGTTTCAGAAATACAATAAGACTATTAAAAGAAAGGACAATGGTGAATGTGGACTAGATTCAAAATTTGTGAGTCATAATATAAATCTGTATTTGTTTTTTTTTCGCTTGAGCACGAAAACTAAGTCTAAGCGTGAGGATGAAAGAAAATAGATAGTATCATACGCAAAGATTTCAAATCATCAGAACTAAAACTGATCCTCGAAACGAGCGAGCTCTTCATTCTTCACATCAAATTGGCAGATTTTTTTTTGAGAAAAGAAGTTACATTTTTAGTGAAATTTTACCAATTGAATTAATTGTTTGCCATTCATTTCTTTTTTTTTTTAATTTAAATTATTATAACATATTTTAAAATAAATAAAAATCTTGATTTAACACAAATATCTGAATATTAAAATTTAAATGAATATAAGATTGATTATAAATTCTATTTCAATCCTTTCAGAATGTGTAGTGATACTCCGTATATACCACAGCATTTTTTTTTAAGAAAGACATGTTATATGTTGACTTTATTTTCTCCCTTGTCTTCTCGACATGAATCTATCATGCTGTATCTTCCTAATTTATTCTCATGTATACACAAATGAGCATGGTCTTTTTATATGGCATCATCCTTGTCTTTCCATAATTATTTTGAGATAATCATATATTTGTATTCCGTCTATATCGCCTTCGGTGCTACTGTCATACGTCGATGTGTATATGTTTTCTTTTCTCTCTATATAGATCAAAGATATTTTCTTTGTTATATTACCTTATCTTCTCCTTTCCAGGCTTTTGTATATATGTACATCCAACACAAGGATAAAAAAATACTTCTGTATGATTAATGATTTGCTTACAACTGATTATTTTCATAGGAAATACAAGAGTGAATCTAATTCATATGAATTCCGAGTCTTAAAGTTCAAAATATTTGCATTTTTATTTGAAAACAATTCGTTATTACAAAAAATTTAACTTTAATACGAACTTTTCTTTTATTCTGTTAAAATTACTAATGGAAAATACGAAATAAATAAAAAATCAAACAATTTTTTAAATCAAAATACAAGATTTATTTGATCATAAATCATTTATGTAAAAGAAAGATGATTATTCATCTCTATCGACCTTGTGCCTCTTTTCTGCCATAATAAACACATCTCCTTCGTGTTCTATTGACAGGAAAATGTATTCCGACGGTTTAACTGGATAAAGAAATTTGGCTACTGAAATCTACTAATTCAACAAAGCACATATAAATTGAATTTAACTTTTTGTTAAGAATAGTTAAATATCTATACAAGAGTAATAATCTTCTAAAAAATTTTCTTAAATTAACATGTCACAGGAAAGGAGTGAAACTAATCACAAAACGAAAAGAATATATATGCATCGAAAAAACGTGTGTATAACGTGCCAGTTGAAACAGTCTATGACCACTATGTATAAAAAAATTTCTCACCGAAAAAATAGATGGTACAATTCATCTACCTCCGTCCTGGAACAGTTAAGTTTTTATACAAGAATTTTAAGATATCAAGACATGCGCTCCAAACTGTAAGCATAACTTTCATTTTGATCGCATTGAAAGGTAGACAATAACCAAAAGCTTCTTTCTTTTCATATCATGGATGATAGTCGTTTTGAAACTGAATATTAAATACAATTATTTGAGAATGTGGGTGAATAACGCATCAAACTGATAACCTTTTTTTCTATATCAATACTTTTAATATGTCCTTTTATCAACTTTACCCTCGACTATATAATTTATAGTTCGAAAAAATTTATATGACTATTAACGTCTTGCAAAAAGTTGACTTTAAAGTTATAAATATCTTTTATTATATATTTGCACACAATCTTATATGATTAATTTATATTTAAAGAAATTAAAAATATTGCCAGTAAATATTTTTTTTATTGCAAAACATCAGGTGACACTCAACAATATTGATATCTAACATTATTTTCTATCGAAAGTAAATATGATAACAAAAATTTATTACCTATTCATACTTCTTAAGTCGTATGGTATGATCTTCGTTTTATTTTTCTCGGACTATATAATAGATTGTAAAATGGAGGTCTTCATGCTAGTATTGATATACTTATAATAATTCAAGTATCAGGTAAGTAATTGTACAAGATATTCAAACAAGCTCACAATATATTTTGGTGATTGAAAACATAGGATCCTCTATATTTCATTTCAAGAAGTTATATCTAGCTATTTTGATTACCTTCTTTTTATAGATAAACGAATTATTCGACTTTTAAGCTCGAATTCAACTACAAAATCATGCGTAAAAAACAAGAAGAGAATCAGTTTGAAATGAAAGACATGTCACTGAATCGTGAACAGAATGAGACACTTTTGAAGGCGCCAAGACTGAACCAACAAATACAATCAAAGTGAGTATTTTGTAGACTAATCAATCCTGTATAATGAATTTTAATCGTATTATTTATAGATCACGGCAGCAACATGGGGTTTGTTTCGCTCGACATAAAATTTTTTATACAATTTTGTTATTATTATTCATTGTCGGCGGTATTATGGCAATAACAATTCCTCGTTATATAGCATATAACAAGGGCAACATTAATACTGAAAACCAAGGTAAGTCACTTCTGTCATTCCTGAAAAAAAAAATAACATTTGTAAGCCTATATTCTACTTTGTATGAAAAATGATTCATAATTGTAATAACGGATTCTGAAAGAAAAAGTTCCTAGTATTAATAACAAGAACTGTAAGGTTATGATGTACACAAATACGTTAAACATTTACCTATTAGTTAATAATATCTCGAAATTTTTCTTCTCATATTTTCTAGAAGAATCGATTGATTCCTATGAAGATGATAGCTCGAACTTGGATATGGTAGAATTACAAGACCATGCATCAACATCAGCTAAATCAATGCAAGATGATGATGATGATGATGACAAAGATGATCAGACTCCTCAATTACGATCAGGTTCAGCATATGTAAGGAGAAACTATCTATTAGCACATGTATTTATTTTCTTTCTCATTTCAATAGAAGTCTAAATCACGTGAAAGTCTTGGTCATATGAATGTTTACCTTCGTAAGCAACATCGTGGTGCTACTCAACGACGACATGAAAAATTTCGTTTTCCCGTGGCTCGTTATGATCGTCAACGATTTCGTATGCATTATTGGATTTGTTAATTTCTTTGTCTAATTAAATTATTTTTTTAAGCTTTGAAGGGTCCATTCTTAAGTTTTTTGCCTTGGATTCCAATATTTGCCGATCGACTAACAAAACAAACAATTATATATTCACCAACAGGAGGCGGTGAGTTGTTATATTTTCAAATACATTAATAATCGAATTTCATTTTTATAGTCTACATTTTACCTCCGGTAATTAACTTTTATGGTAAAATGTTTTCAGTTGCAGAACTGATTGTATCTGGTTATGCTAGTTTGGTTAGTAGTGGTGTTCCACCAACCGGCCCGATCAATATGATGTCTTATTTTCAACCAACACCATGTATGTTTTGATTTCAAATAATTTTTTTTATAATTTCCTCTTGTGTATTTAGTATATGGTGCTGGTATTCCGAGATTTAATCCATTAAGAGGTAGTTTTGATGGTGGTATTCGAACGGAATATAAATCTTTCAACATTCGACAATCTCCAAGAACAGTTACCAACATAGATCCAACATATGAATCGGAAGAAGACAGTTATGAATCACCATCATATTCACAAGATAACTACAACAAACCGGATTCAGAAGAAAACTACGACAGACCAGATTCAGAAGAGAAGTACAACAGACCAGATTCAGAAGAAGACTACAACAGACCAAATCCACGTCCGCGTCCATATCGACGCCGACGCCCATATTCACGTCCCAGTACAAGTCGTAAAAGCACAAGAAAAAGTACAAGTACAAGTACAATCGCAAGTACACATTCAAGTCGACGTTCACGTTCTACAAGTAATATAAATAATCTATACCTCATTCAACTAGATTATAATGAGAATAAGAAAATAGAAGATAGTAGTCGAACTCTCCTACACTTAGAAATGACCTGAGATAATTCTAACGAATTTTTAAAAATTTATGAGAATATATTATTGTTGACTAAAACGTTAACGAAAAATGTACCTATCCAATATAATTATTGACTTTGATAAAAACAATAATTATATTCATTTCTTTTATATAATAGTGAGCGTGCGAGAGTAGTTCGTCAGCATTCTGTATTATACTGCATTTCTTTTTTTGGTAGGACGATATATTGACGAAGATGTATCTTGAAATTTCTCGTCTAAATTGTCAGAATAGAATCAAATGACAAAACTCTAAGAAAATGTATATTAAATATTTTAGTTCGTCTGTTCTGAAAGTATCTTTATGAAAGAACGAGTGAAATTAATTTATTCTTAAGTAATTTCTAACTCTTCTATAAAAGTTTTACATAAAAATATATTCGTTTAATTGAATATAACATATTAGTACAATAGCACTATACATGTAAAACTCTAGTGCGCGAATTATAAACGTTTAGAAGTTTAAAATTCGTAATGAGTCAACGATTTATACACTACTCATAATTTCGAGATGAAGTATTATATTAACTTGGAAACAGAATTAAAAGAACTTCGTTCTAATATGATCAATGTTTTAAAAGTTAATCAAAACAAAAATATAGTAAAAGGAAGATTTTAGAATTATATCAAACACTTAGCATTTTCATTTTGACAAATCGCATTGAATAGATATGACATATATAGTTTTTGTAAAGCAAATTAGACTCTATTGATTAGTAGATAGTCTGTTTTAAACAGTCGAAATATAAATGATTCAGAAGAGTCGAATTTTCTAGAATTGAATTGAGAAGTATTACGATTGCTTTAACTCAAGTTAACCAGAAAAATAGTTTGAGTTTGAGTATTCCACATAATGAGAACTATGTTCTTAATAAACCAGATAATTGAATAGAATACCTAAATTCTATTGCACTTTCCATAGTTCAGCTTTCTCTTCAATTATCTATTACGAAAATAAATTCTGTTTGCATTTTTTTCTTTTACGTAGCCGATCGTAAACCTGCAGCAACTACTGAGCATATGAAAAGTGATACTTATGTCATTCATGAGAGACGTCAACATCTTCCTCTCCACTGGAACAAGCATGATAAAGCGGATCGCAATTTTATTCTTCCTATGCGCATTGGTCTTGTTCAGCAGAACCTGGAAAATATCGAAAAAGAACTTATGAATGTCTCAGATCCGACTTCACCTAACTACGGCCGTTACTTAACTCCAGCGCAAGTTGCTGACATGTTTGCTCCCAAACAAGAGACTATTACTTGTGTTCGACAATGGCTCGAAGATTTCGGTATCAAACCTAATCAGATTAATCTTAGTGCAAGCAATGGTTGGTTGCATTTCAATATTACGGTTAGGAATGCTCAGCGACTTTTGAAGACCAAATATTATAGCTACAGACACAAGAGTGGAAAATATCTTGTCGCTACTGAAGAGTACAGTGTCCCGTCTATGGTTCAAAAGTGCATCGACTTCATAACTCCTACACTTCACTTTGACGTTAGAGTTTCAAAGAATTCAGACACAAGTGATAGTTTGAACAGCAATTTTCAACAAGATATCCTCGGTATTGGTCGTAACCATACTCTACCGACAAGGACACTCACTGGACAGCTTCTTCAACTTCTTCGAGCGGCTATTACTAATGGCACGACGGCGGCTTTTCTTGCGTTGTGCCCTAATATAACTACTCCAGCTTGTTTACGATCTAAATACAACTTTACGAACTACATACCGACATCAAACAATACTAATATCCTTGGCATCACTGAATACACGCCCGTAGCGTATAATCAATTGGATCTGGATCTGTTTTCCAGTCTCTGTCCATCAAAGCCACTGGGTACTAAACCAAACATTAAATTAATTGATACTAATGGTACTGCTATTTTGGATTCTCTAAACATCAATTACAACGGAGAAGCTAACCTTGATTTGCAATATGCTATCTGCTTGGTACGTTCTCTCACCGTTACGCTGTTTCAAATTGGAGATGATATTATATATGCTTCTTTCAACAACTTTTTTGATGCTATCGACTACTCATATTGCAAAAATGGAACCGGAGACGATCCTATTTATGATAGCATCTATCCTGATCCTAGCAATCAGCGTGGAGCTTATAAAGGAAAGGATTGCGGAAGGTACCCACCTACCCTTGTCATTTCTACATCATATGGATACAATGAGAAGGATCTTACGCGCGAATACGAAATGCGTCAATGTAACGAATATGCAAAACTCGGTATGATGGGCGTTACGATATTTTATGCTTCAGGTGATTATGGCGTTGCCGGTAACGAGGGATATTGCTTGCTCCCAAATGGAACTGAAACTAATAGTACTACTGCTCCCAGATACAATCCTTCTTTTCCTTCAACATGTCCTTATATCACTTCCGTCGGTGCTACTCAGTTCAATGGTAGTGTTAACAACCCTGAAGTTGCTAGCTCGCAAGTGATCTTCTCTGGTGGAGGTTTTAGCGATTATTTTGAAATACCAGCTTATCAAAAGGCAGCCGTAGCGGAGTACTTCGCCAATCATAAACCACCCTATAATTCTTCGCAATATAATAATTCGCAGACCACTCGTGCATTTCCTGATGTTGCGGCTAACGGTGATAACTATGGCATCTACCAGGATGGAACTCTGCAATTGGTTTATGGTACTTCTGCATCTTGTCCTGTATGGGCATCCATTATAGCTCTAATCATCGATGCCCGTTTGGCTATCGGTAAAAGCCCACTAGGATTCATAAATACTGCTCTTTATAACCACAGCATTATTTTAAATGATATTACTTCGGGAAATAATCCAGGATGCGGAACAAACGGTTTTACAGCAGTCACTGGTTGGGATCCTGTTACTGGACTTGGAACTCCTAACTTTCCGAAAATGTTGGCTTACTTCTTAAGCTTGCCTTAAAAGCAGTCTCTCCTTTCTACTATGACATTAATCGACAAAAACAAATGCTAAAAAAATAATCACACCATTATACTCCCATCCTACACAATATATTATTTTCTTCTTTCTTACACACTTCCCTTTTACTTAACATATGCGTAATTCTTTTTTTTCTTTGCGTTCTATATTATTTTTATCTTATATCATTCTTTGCCAAAATAAATTTCAAAGATTTGACAAAACAACAAAAGAATGAGATTAAAGAGAACGAGAACAAGTAGATCGTATTTGCACAATGTGACGATAAAGATATTATAAAAAAGAAAGTGGTGTGTGTGAATGAAAATAATAGTTAAAGCTAACATACTTATGTGCACCCTTCTCGGTATATTATCTCTTTGATTTGACTTATTCATCCTGAAGGATCAATATGATTCTCGACATGAATGATTTATTTTTTATTCTATGTAATAAATCTATCTATATTATAAATGATAAATAAAATTATGTATAAAAGTTTTTAATAAAAATATTATATTTAATCTCTTATTCGATGATGATAAAAAAATGTTGAATACGGTCGTTTTTGTCTGTTACCTCTTTGACTTGGATCAGGATAAATAGTTAAATTCCATTTTTTAGCTAATAAACTAAGTATAGATTGATCATGACGATTTTCTCTAAAACCATCATAATTTTTCTGATTAAAAACATTTTTATCATCAGTTATTATTCGATTATCTTGTGCATAAGTTAACCATTCTGATACAAATGTCATACTCATTAAACTTTTTCGTAATATAACATAAGAAGCAATACCAGCTGATGAATTATAATATAATGGTTCATCAACATTCATTGTTATAAATGCATCTCGTTTTGTCCAAATATATTCCTATAATATACGTCAATAATGTATTTTAGAATTTCTAAGATATATCGTATATAATAAATACCTTTGAAGTATGTTTGAATGTAATTACATCTTGATATTTAGTTAAATCAATCAGAGGTTGTATATTTCGAATAAAATTCACAGTTGCATCAGAATAAATAATAATATCACCTTCTCGAGCAAGATAAAGTTCTTTAAGTATTATATATGGTTTCCAAAGCCAGTAACCAGCTCCTCGTGTTTGATTTAATATATGTTTATTTCTTTTCATAAATTGTTGATCATTATCAAATATACTCATATTCATTTTTATACATTGACGAATACCATTTATTAATCCTGTATTGCAATTTCGTTGTTGTGATCGTTGACAACATTTATGAGCAAAATTAATTAATAGGGGATAACATCGTTGTATAGTTGTTGGTGAACCATTTGAATTATATATAGAAATATTATCAGTACATGTTGAATTAATTATTATATCGTCAAAAGATTCAGAAATGTCTATTGTAAAATAATGGCCCATCGATAAAAATGAAATAATAATAAATATAAATAAGAACATTGTATTATTTAATTTTGGAGTATAAAAAATAGAAAATTGATTAACTTTTTGTGAAATAAGAACCATCGATTAGTAGTTTAAAATAAATCAAAGATAGTTAGTATAGAAGCATCAATAGATGTTTTGTTTGTTCTTCTAAAAATGTAAAAGATATTTATAATCAAGTCATTTACTAAAACAAGTATTTTTTTTTTCAAGGTTTAGATTTATATGAATCATGCGGAATTATCTTACTTATATCTATGATTAATAAATATTGAATAGATTAGTTATACATCACATCTATTGTTTAGATAAATGTTCTGATAATGATATATTATGAACAAAAGAGTAAGGCTCTGTAATTGCAAAAAAATGAAATCGAGAATCAAATTTTGTAAATAAACAAAGAAAGCCGAAAATCAAAATTTCTTCTCAAACATAACTGCATGTTCGAAGAGCCGCGCAAGTGAGCATAGCATTTGCGAATATACTTCTACATTCTTCGTTTTACTCTAGTTTGCATCGTTCAAAAAAAAAAGTGTCGTTTATATTAAATAATTTTACCGTTAGATATTGATAAATAAAGGAATATCCTTGCATTTTTTTTATTGAAGTCGGTAAGGTATCATTATGATTATATATAAAATAGATAGTAAGTTATAATGCCTTCTTTTATTGATGATATAGAGAGAAAAAAATGAAGCCAAAACCATGCTTTTAATGCTTGATCGATTTTATATGCATCGAGAATATTGATCGTATACACAAACGCTATATTATATGATTACAATTTATTCTTTCCTACTCTAAAGCCAGGGAGTGCAAATGTGAATGATATATTAGTTGTTCAACATCAAACATAATAGAATACTTATGCATTGAAGTATCTTCTTTTTGAAGCAAAATTTTTAATGATTTCTCAATCTATTGTTAAAAATATAGACTTCTTTCGTTTTTCTTTAGTTTATACTTTTCTAATCGTGTATTCTGAATTTCTCTTGAAGAGCATGTCTAGATACAAGACATAATGAAGTTGTTGCTTTACATTAACCTTTGGTTTTACAATATATATATATTTATTGTTTAATAGTTTTTTAAGAACATAATCTTGTGATGTCCTTTTATTTCTCTTAAGAAGCAAAAAAAGGTGTTGGTCATGTCCTTCATCTTAAAATGTTCTTTAAAATATAAAAAATTTAAATGTATTGTATAAGTATCGAAAGAGGAATTTAAGACAGTAAATCAGCTTTTGATGAATACCCTTGTGAAATAGCATGACATTGAACTAATAGTTCTCACAGATCTTGAAAGTTTTATATACGATTTAAACGTACTTTAGCTGAGATAGCCACTCCTATCCTTCAAAATAATATCTTCCAACATATCAAAAATTGAAGATCTATTTTAGTATAAATCTTTATTGATAATAAAAGGAAAATCTTAATTTCTGATATTTTTTGTTTTTTTCAAAAAATATTTTCAATAATCAATTGAATATCTTTTGCTAATAAAAAATAAATATAAGATATTATTCAACTAATTTGATCAAATAAATTTTCTGTATAAATTTTTTTCAATTATATCTGTTAAAACTATATAAATAAATCGTGTGCCATCTGGAATTGAAGAAATAACAAATATACAACTTTCAATAATAATCATCTAAAATAATTCATTTAGATGTTTTCTTTTCTTTTCTTCCTTTAAAATTTTACTCACATATGTTAATATTGAAAATAGAATGCTCTGATTATTAAAAGAGAGAGAGAGAGTTGAAGAACTTTTTTTAATTTTATAAACTTACAAATATGTTCGAATTCGATATCCAATTGAATCTGTTGCAAATACATCAGCCATTAAACGAGTTGAAACAGAAAATGATATATTCAAAAAATCAAATAAACTTGCAATAAGAATATAATGTGAACATGGAGTTGTTCGAAAACGTTTTCGAGAAAATATATAAAAATTTCCAATTGAACTAATAATATCGTAAATTAATAATCGTGGTATTCAACAGAAAATACAAGCAAAGAGATTTCGGACGAGACTAAAAGAAATAATCATGTCATCTGAATGTTCGTTCTGGCTGTGTTGCAGTCGATAAAAAAATTTTAAACTCTTAAGAAATTGTAACATCATCCTCGAACTCGTTTACAATAGATGACTTTAGAAAAATTCAAATTTCTTCGAACCTTGAACTACTAGGAAAATGTTGTGACGCTATCTGTCATGATTTTGCGTGGTATAATTGCATGAATATTTTCAGAAGCGGTTGAAAATCTTCCAAACTGTAACGATTTTGATGATATGCAATACTTCTCCACATATATCCGAGTTAAAAACACATAGTTAATAGAGATTATAGAAAAAAATTTATTGATCTCTATTTTAATGGTAAGTTACACAATGAATTCTATAAAGAATATTTTTACAAAAATTAAACAATGTATTACTAGAAAATGTGAGCTTCCTTAGCTTACCGTTTGTTAAGAAAAAAAAATGAGAAAAGAAAAATTTTTATGCATTTAATTAAGTAAAAAAAATTAATTTATGTACAAAACAAAAGAAGATATGAAATAATTCTATCAATGATGGAAAGAAAATATATTCATAATATTGTCTTTGCTTCAATTTAAACAGAAAAAAAATATCTTTATGATACATTTCCCTTCATAGGCATTTTTCTATTGACATTAGTCTCTCCTGAGTGATATCAATCTTACGTGTATTGATGTAAATCAGAATCGATACTCGTCGTTATAAGTATATCGAATGAGAAAAATCTTATCCCAAAGTTATTAAAGTTTGTTTTAATCGATCTTTCATTGTTAGTAGATGCATGTTAGAACATATCATGTTGAAAAATAATATTCTTCATTGTATAAATAGAAACCGCCATCTGTTTGATTGTCTTGATACAAAATATAATTCAATTTATCGACAGCACACAGAATCGACTTAAATCAACAAAACTGAGTATGAAAGAATTCATATTGAACAACGAAAAAAGTAAGAGAACGGCATTGTAAGTGTATTTTCATTTATGCAGATAACGAGGTTTAAGAACAATCATGTGTTTATGTGCTATATTTATTCATGTATATAATAAACATATAAATTAAATAATTATAATTAACAAAATTCAAATTTATGCGCATTTACATAAACCAAGAAAAAAGATCAGACAGAAGTCGTCAAAATATCACTCAGCAGCTTGTTATTATAAAACAGAATCTTAACGAATGGATTAAAACTAAAGAAAAAAAAAGAAGATTAATCTAAAAAAATCGATGTTCTATTTAAAAATGTTAATCATATATTTCAAAATTATCCGATTGGAAATCATAAAAAAGCGATCTTTTACAATTTTTTTTCTTCATATACATAAGGTGTCGATACATTGTGTTGTACATCTTCTCTCTAACCTTGTAAACCCTCAAGCGCAATGACTGAGAATGGTTAAAAAAGTATTCATATAGAATACTCAATATTAAACGATGAGTACTCAATTGTCGGATTCGAATTTTAACATAAGTATGGCTGGAACATAACTTTAGGCATATTATATTGTAAATATATTATTGAGTACTCATTGAATGTTAAAATTCATTTTAATTGAAGGAGAGAAAAAAAGAGAAGATCAGTCGTGATTGTATAAAAAATAAATCTGTAATGAATACATATTAAATGATAAATTATCTTAGAATAATATTGATTATTTAATAAGAAGTTCAATAAAAGTTCAAAAGAAAACAACACATTTGTTGGTCATCATAATTTTCGAAAGTATTGATAACCATTGTAATACTACTTGTACAATTAATCGATTTAAATTTTTTGAATAATGAATATAAAACTTTCTTTATATTTAAATCAATTAAGAAAATATCTTCATAGTAAAAGAGGAATAATCATATCAATTATTTCTTTTCAATTTTTTTTTTCTCAATACAAAATCAACCTTGAATAGTTAATTGATATCAACATATATATAATTATTGATCAATATTAAATATAAAAAAACGAAACGAAACGATTATTGACTCCTATCACGTTATGTTTTTGCCTAATAAGAATCTCGTATTACATATATATATATCAACACTTTTTCTTCGATATTTTCTTTAAATAACTCGATAGTTTCATCGTTCTGAAACATAACACATATACACATACATAGTTAATATTAGTATTTCTAATAGTTATCTCTCATTTCATACATACATATATATTTAAGTTACTTAAAATAACAAAAAGCAACAAAAAAAAAGAGAAACGAAAAAAAAGTTATAACTGACTCCTTATCAAAACCTTAAAGAATAGTGCGGTTGGTCGTTTGCAAATAAAGAATGTAATATATAGACAGTACGAAAAAAAGAAAAACGAGAGACCTTCTCTCCTTTATAGTCCATACAATTGCAATCATTAAAAAGCACTTAAGTCTCAAAACTCGATTCGTAGCCAGATGCTGTTTTATATTTATTCACTGACTTTTTTTCTTTTTTTATTGTCATTTATTTGAACAATCATAGAAGTGCCGCTTGCGCTAGTAAATACGAAATGTATTTATTAGTTTTATAATTATTTCATCCTCAACACAAAAAATAGATGAGATTCGGTAGAAGAGAACAAAAAGAAAACGAACAAAAAAAGAAATTCCTTCGTTTTTTTTTCTTGTACAATAATTATTATATAGTTCCATTTGGTTGTGTCATATGATGCCCAATGACAATTCACTGCTGTTGCAGTTTGTTATTGATTTGCTTTTGCTGTTGACTATGTTTCTTCCTGCTGTTTTAGTTAGAAGAGCAAAGCAAGAATACGAAGAAAAAAAGAAAGAAAGAAGATAGCTACTACCATTATCATCATCGTTGTCGCTACTGCCATCGATGATGATAATGATGACCTTCACTCGTCGTTTTCTTCTACAGACGCAAGACCAAAAAGAATTGATGATGTTCTATGTACAAGCAAAACAGCATCCCCATCTCTCATGATAATAACAACAACAAATTCCTTTTTTTCCTATAGAATACATCATCCAATACTCGACAACAAGGTTTCGTACTTGACAGAAAAAACGACGAGTAAGACAGGAACCGTCGTAGAAAACAATAAACAAACTACAAATGGCTAATTTATACCATCGTCGTAGTAGAGATGATGTGCCGTTTTCTCCCGTTTGATATTCTATATGTCACATTCTCATTTCCTCTTACTCATGTTAGTGTTTTTTTACAACTTAAAACTTTGTCGACAATCGAAGATTTATATGAATCTTAGTCGTAGTTTTTATTTTCTTTTTTCTTTCTTTTATCGTTCTTCTTGACTTTTCTTTTTTTCTCATTTTCTTTTTATTGTTTGCTCTAAATGCTCTGTTGAGGTATTTTTCACATTAAAAACATTTAGTAAAAAGACAGGTAATGTAGTAAGAGAAGAAGAGGAGAAATAAAACGAAATAGAAATATTATTTTAATTCTCCATATTCTTTTGTTATTATATGAATAAGTTTTATACGCGCGCGCGCACATAGAAGACGAAAGAAAATAAATTAAGACTGAGACACAATGCTTTTATTTAATCATCCATTCCATTACATATTCGTCAAAAGATGATATAATTGTGGATGACATTACTAATGACAAACAGTAACAAAAATAAGTAAAAGCTTGCTTAGATGTTTTTATTATTCTAGTTAGAACATATTTCTCGTCTTAGAACAGTATTTCATTGAAAAATAATAGGAAAAAAAGAAGCAATATATACATATATATATATATATGTAGGCAAAAATAACAGCTTCTTGTTTGTCCTTTTTCTTTTTCCTTCATTTTTTCTTGTCTCGTCATCAACAGTCTTTCTTTCTTCAGCTTTTTTTTCGTATGTAAGTGCCTTTTGGTAAGTAAGTACAGTCTCATACACAGACCGCAAAAACACCTCTTTCTTGTCAAGTGAATAATCTTAGTGATGTTGGTAGGGCATACGAAAAAAAAAA